CTCCCACTCCTCATCTTCCTCCTCCTTCTCCTCCTCCTCCTCCTCCTTCTCCTTCTCCTTCTCCTCCTCCTCCTCCTCCTCCTCCTCCTCCTCCTCCTCCTACTCTCCCTACCCCTCCTCCCCCTCCTCCTCCTCCTCCTCGTCCTCCTCCTTTTCCTCCTCCCCCTCATCATCATTATCCTCCTCCTTCTCGCCCGATCGGCCAGTCTGGTTCTGCCACGTGTGTTCTGCTCCTAGCCCCCTCCTGCTACTCTCTCTCTCTCTCTCGTGTTCCATCCTCCTCCCTCCCCCATTGTCCCTTCCTTCCATTCGTCTTTTTTTCGCCTACTTTGGTGGCTGCACGAAATACACGTTGCAGGTAAGAACGATATATACCCTCAAAGGGGACGATCGAAGACGAAGGGTGCTGGGATCGAAGGTCGGGGATATACGTGTTGAGTGGCCCGCGAACAGATAGGGTGAACAGTCTTAAAATTGTGGTCGGTGTTGTTGCTGCTAGCGAGGCGTGCTGGCGCCAGTATATACGGAATAATCGAATACGACTACTTCGTATATGCGTACACAGAGGAACCATATCCGATTAGTCCGTATATCCATATACGGACTAATCGGGTCCGATTGTTCTTTATATGCCATGTGCGGCGTAGTCGGAACAGATTTCATATACGGAGTAATCTAATATGATTATTCCGCATATCGCATATACGGAGTAATCGGTATTGATTATTTCGTGTATCGCACATACGGAGTAACCAGACTTGCTGGTTATTCCGTAAATCACATATACGGGGTAATCGGATCTGTTCATTCCGTATCTTGTCACCCGTCTTGCATATGCGGAGTAATCGGATTCGATTATTCCGTATATCGCATGTACGGAGTATTCGGATTTGATTATTCCGTATAGTGCATATACGGAGTAATCGGACCTGATGTTTCCGTATATCGCATATACGGGGCAATCGAATTGGATGATTCCGTATATCGATCCGTACATCGCATATACGAGTTAGTTTTTTATGTGTAGACGCCAGTGTGCATTGCTGGTTTGTTGTTGGTGCTGTTGTTGTTGACTTTATTGTTTGATCCCCCGTTCCCGATAACCATTGCATTTCTCAACTAAAGTGTTCTTCCCGGGGCTTGCACCCGTTTTTTTTAGTGGGAAGTGAGGTGTCACCGAACTGTACCCCATGGCTTCCGGTTTACAACAACAGCAGTTGCCGACTGATACTTCCTCACAATGTATTCCCAAATCGCGTTCTCGCGCGGGACTTCCTCACAATCTATACAGGAATCGCACTCACGCGTGGGACTTCCGCCGCGCCCTCGACATTCAGGAATCACACTCTCGCTGTGGATTTCCTCCCGAGTTCTTTTGCTGACGCGTTATCGCTCGAGACGCCCTCGCGATTCATTCAGAACGCACGCTTCAACAACCCGCCTGATCGACCTGGCCGCCTGGGCCTGCCCGACCTACCCGACCGATCGGCCCGTCTGTTTCTGCCACGTGTTCTCTGCTCCTAGCCCCCCTCTTGCTACTCCCTCTCCCTCGTGCTCCATCCTTCTTCTTCCCCCTTGCCCTTCCATCCGTCCTCTCGTCCCATGCCTTGAGGGCTGCACGAAATTCATGTTGCAGGTAAGAAAGATGTATACCCCCAAATGGGTACGATCGAAGACGAAGAGGGCGGGTATCGAGGGTTTGGGAAACACATGTTGATTTACATGCACGCGTACAAGATCGGACAGTCTCACAGATATTGTTGTCGTTTTTGAATTCTCATGCCTCAAGAGCACTTATTGTTGATCTCCCCTGCTTGGTAACCACTGCAGGTTTCAATCAACATGTTTTTCCCGGGGCTTGCACCCTGTTTTCTACACGGAAAAGTGAGGTGTTGTCAAATTGCGCTTTTGGCCCTTAGTAGGTCTTCGCAATGTGTTTCCATATCGCGCCATCGCGCGGGACTTCCTCAAATGTATACCGGAATCGCGCTCTCGAATGGGATTACATTACAAGTGATTCAGACGCCGCGCCTTAGACATTTAGGAATCACGCTCTCGCTGTGGATTTCCGCACGATGTATTTGCGAATCGCGCTATCGCTCGAGGCTTCTTCCATGCAAGATGCACTCTTCAGCAACCCGCCTGCTCGACCTGGCCGCTTGGGCCCGCCTTCCCGTCCCGCCCGCTAGGGCCTACCCACCCGATCTGGCGGTCTGGTTCTGCCACGTGTGTTCCTGCTCCTAGCCCCCCTCCAGCTACGCTCTCTCGTGTTCCATGCTCCTCCCTCCCCCATTGTCCCTTCCTTCCATCCGTGCTGTCTTCGCCTACTTCGGCGGCTGCACGAAAGACACGTTGCAGGTAAGAGCGATATACCCACAGAGGGGCACGGTCGAAGGCGAAGATGGCGGGCATCGAGGGTTCGGGGCACACGCTTCGAATGGCACGCGAGCAGATAAGAGCGAGCAGTTTTAACATGACTGTTGTTGAGTTTTGATTTCTAGCTACGAACTATTATTGACCCCCCCCCCCCTCTGGGGCACACTGTGCTTTTTCAACTGAAGTGTCGTTTCCGGGGCTCGCACCCTGCTTGTTTTGATCAGGGAAAGGTTTGGGATGTTGGCTTCCCGTTTACAACAACACCAGCTGCGCTCTCGCGGGGGGCTTCCTCACAATTTATGCAGGAATCGCGCTCTCGCGTGGGACCTCCTCGCAATTTGTTCAGACGCCGCGCCCTCGACACTCAGGAATCACTCTCGCTGCGGATTTCCTCACGATTCAAGTGGGAATCGCGCTATCGTTCGAGACATCCTCGCGATTCATGCAGGACGCACTCGTCAGCAACCCGCTTGCTCGACCTGGCCGCCTCGGCCCGCCTTCCCGACGCGCCCGTCAAGGTCTATCCGCCCGATCTGGCCGTCTGGTTTCCAAGCCTCCTTCCTGCTACTCTCTCTCGTGTTCCATCCTCCTCCTTTCCCCTTGTCAATTCCTTCCATCCGTGCTGTCTTGCCCTGCCCAGGGGCTGCGCGAAAGTCACTCTGCAGTTTAAAAAGATATATCACCCAGGGGACGACGAGGGCGGGCATCGAGGGTTTGGGACATGCGTCTTGAATGGCACGCGAGCAGATAAGAGCGAGCAGTTTCAAAATGATTGTTGTTGACTGTGTTGTTGTTGGTGGTGGTGGTGTTGTTGCTCTTGTTGCTATCGGTTTTTATGTCTACCGAATAGTTGCTGTTGCCCCCCCTTGCCCGGTAACCATTTCTATTGTCTCAACGATAGTGCTTCTCCCAGGGTTCGCACTGTTTTTTACTCGGGAAAATGAGGTGTCACCAAACTGTACTCGTGGCCTCAGGTTTACAACAACAGAGCCTCACGATCGTATTCCCACATCGCGCTCTCGCGCTGGACTGTCTCACAATGTATGCAGAAGTCGCGCTCTCGCGTGTGACCTCCTCGCAATGTATTCAAACGCCGCGCCCTCGACATTCAGGAAGCATGCTCTCGTTGCGGATTTCCGCACGATGTATTTGAGAATCCCGCTATCGATGGAGTCGCGATTCATGCAGGACGCACGTTTCAGCAACCCGCCTGCCCCTTGTCCCGTCCTTCCATCCGTTCTTTCTTCCTATGCCTTAGGGGCTGCAGGAACTACACGTTGCAGGTAAGAAAGATGTATACCCCCAAAGGGGGTACGGTCGAAGACGAAGAGGGCGGGTATCGAGGGTTTGGGGTTTGGGATACACGTGTTAACTAGTACGCGAGCAGATAAGAGCGAACAGCCTTAAAATCATTAGTTTTGTTGATGTTGCTGCTGCTCTTCTTTGAGTTGTTGTTGCTGCGTTTGGTGTTGTCGTTGTTGTTGGTGGTGTTGTTGCTGGTGGACACTGCACCGAAAGCCCCGGACCCCCCCAAAAAATAAAACAAGCTGAAGCCCCAGCAACCCCCGAGGGAGCCTTAGAATTCCTAAAGGATCCGTGCGGACTCCTGAAGGATTCCCATGGATTCCAAAAGATTCCTAAGGATTGCCAAGTAGTCCTGATGGATTCCGAAGGATTCCTCTGGATTCCGAAGGATTGATTCGGCTTCCTATGGATTCCTAGGGATTCTTAGTGATTCCTAGGGATTTCTAGGGATCCATAAGGATCCCGAAGGATCCCTAGGGAGTCCCAGGGGTTCCGATGGATTCCTAGAGATTCCTAGAGATCCCGATGGATGTCTAGGAATGCCTCGGGATTCCTAGGGATTCCAAAGGATTCCTAGAGTTTCCTGGGAATTCCCACGGATTCCCTAGGGTTCCTATGGATTCATCAGGATTCGTGGGAGCCCTAAGGATTCCTAGGGATTCCTAGGCTTCCTCAGGATTCCTATGGATTCCGATGGGATTCCTAAGGATTCCTAGAGATGCCTTTGGGATTCCTCAGGGTCCCTTTTGGTTCCCCTGGATCCCGATGGATTTGTACAGAAGATCGATCGAAGGCACCCCTCGGGGGGGGGCTGTTGCTGGGGCTGCTGGTTGTTAGGGCGCCTTGGGAGCTTCGCTTCCCCCCGCAGGGAGAGGGGGGGGGGAGGGGCGAACACCCCCCTGGGGGGTTGCTGTGGCTGCTGGTTGTTAGGTTCCCTGAGGATTCGTAGGATCCCTGAGGATTCCTGGAGATTCCCAAGGGGTCCCTGAAGGATTCCCATGGGTTCCTGAGGGATCCCAAGGGATTCCTAAGGATTCCTATGGATGCATGTGGACTCCTACGCATTCCCCACGTATTCCAATGGATACCGAGGGATTCCTACTGATTCCGATGGGTTCCTAGGGATCGCTATGCACGTCTAGGGATCGGATCCCTGAGGGATTCCTATGGGTTCCGATGGGCTCCTGTTTAATATCGATCGAAGGTCTCCGTTGGGTGTTGCTGGGTTTGTTCCCCTTCCTCCTCCTCCTCCTCTTCCTCCTCCTCCTCCTCCTCCTCCTCCTCTTCCGCTACCTCTTCCTCTTCCTCCGCTCCCGCAGGGCGGGCCTGAACCACTCGGTGCTCGCGTTCGAGCCGCTGGTGGCACACCGCAAGATGGTCCTCGGGCACCTGGCCGCCAAGGGGCTGCTGGGCACCGTGCAGATCCTGGACGCCGCCAGGGGTGCGACGACGACGACGACGGCGGCGGCGGCGACGACGTCGACGAAGACGACGACGACGACGACGACGACGACGACGACGACGACGACGACGACGACGACGACGACGACGACCACGACCACGACCACGACCACGACGACGACGACGACGACGACGACGACGACGACGACGACGACGGCCGAAGGCTGACGACGACGACAACGACGACGACGACAACGACGACGACGACGACGACGACGACGACGACGACGGCGGCGGCCAAGGGGCTGCTGGGCACCGTGCAGATCGACGACGACGACGACGACGACGACGGCGGCGGCGGGGAGGAGGAGGAGGAGGAGGAGGAGGAGGAGGAGGAGGAGGAGGAGGAGGAGGAGGAAAGAGGAGGAGGAGGAGGAGGAGGAGGAGGAGGAGGAGACCCCGCCTGCCCCTTTCGTGGGCCTCGGGATGGTATGCAGGATGGTGTGGTGGCCCTCCTCGCCTCCTTCCCCATCTTCAGACAAGGATTCGCGGGTGGCGTCTGCGGGCCCCCGCACGCGCGCAGGTCGGGGGCCGTCCCCGTTGGCGCGGTCGGGGGCCCGCGCGCGCGAGCGCGGATCGGGGACGGCCGATGCCGCGCCAGTAAAATAAGGAGGAGGAGGAGGAGTGAAAGAAGAGGGGAGGAGGGGAGGGGAGGACGTCGTTGTCGAAAGATGGCACGCGCTGAGCGCGGTGCTCTGGGGTGTCCGGGTAGGAGGACGCGGCGGGTGGCGCATGGGACCGCAAGGGGATCCACCACGTACGCCACCACGCCACCACACCACCAGGCATTTCCCTGGAACAGAACGGACCGAGGGTGCAAAGGGGGGCGACCCAGCAGGTGAGCAGGGAGGGCCTGCCCCGAGGTGGAAGACAGCTTTGGGCTGAACAATGGTGAACCATACAGGCAGATTCCAGCAAGAGGCTGGTCAGGCGGATTGGCAGACCCCGCCGTCCAATGTTCAACACCGCAGAGTGCAACGTTGGCAGCGAGATTCGCCTGAGCGGCAGGAGTCGAGCGCCGTACGGGGGGGGAGGGGGGGGGCCAGCTGAAAGGGAGCAGGCTGCCAACTGGATATACAGGTTTGGCACGCTGCCAGGAGAGGATGCAACTACAAGTAGGCACCTGCCACCGCAAGGTGCCAGGGCACATGAGCTCGAAACGTACACTAACTCACAGCGACAGCATGCCACCAGGGCGGGTCAAAAAGTACGGTGGACCCACGTGGATATAATAGAAGGAAGAGGCAACACGCCAGCAAGTCGAACGGGGGGACCCACAAGGAGGGACCTTAAATGCCTGGGAGTCCACAGTTCCGAGCAACAGCAAGTGCGATTAAGGACGGAGACAATGCGCACAGAAACCATGCTCGCGCACCATACGTAAATGAGCGCAGGGCGTGAGGAAACGGTCGTCTAAAGAGACCAATCGGGGCGACCCACGATGAGAGAGCCTGGGCATTCTACGGCCAGAAAGACGAGCCCAGACCTGCCCTGCCGAGAGAGAGAGAGAGAGTGAGAGAGAGAGAGAGAGAGAGAGAAAAAAAAAAAAAAAAAAAAAACGGACACCAAGAAGTTGTGCCTCCTGGAGAATTCTGGACGTCGTCAGGGTAAGCAGCAGATCTGCGGGCGAACCACGTGATCCATAGGTCCAATCCTTGGGGCAGGCCGTACTTCATTCGTCAAGCCCTGCACACGAACCCCCTGCCCTCTTTGCATCGGCGTTCTTCGTGCCACCTGCCCTCGTAGGTGGCGAGATAGGCATACAGCTGATGCAGCGAAATGAGCCGCTAGTAGTGCTCACCACTGGCCAAACTTGCTCCTGACAAATCCCGCACGCTGGTGGGTGGACGGATGAAAAGGTCGTCCTGGCTCGCCTCGGCCCTCTGCTCTTTCGGAAGAGGCTGAAAAGGGGGGCAGCAGAAGACGAACTCGAGCAAGCAGGCAAGGAGGGGCTTTCCCCATTCGTCAAGGCGCCGTATTTAACAGCCTCCACATATTCGAGGCCTACAGCACGAGCGGCCGCGAAAGCGTTGATGTCTCTTTCCCTAGGAGGACGATGCGCCTAAACATTGTCGTAGCGGCTCTGAGGTAGCCAGTGACGATCTCCCCCTCACGAGCCGCGAGTGGGCTCTGTCTGGAGAATGGGCGGACGAGCATATGTCTCCTTCGGCCCTGCCAGGGCTACGAGGAGGATATTCCGGAAAAGAGGGTCACCTGAAGAACCGTGAGGCGAGTGGGAGCGCGAAAGTGGGCGTCCCCGAAGGACAGGCAAAGAGAACGTCCCAGCACGAGGATTGCTGGGGGTCCGATGAGAAGCGCGAGCAATACTGTGGAGCGATCGGGCACCAGGCCTGCTGGGAGACCAATGGCTGCCAGTACTTTCTAGACTGGCAGCAACTTGAACAGGTGCAAGAACTCGATCCTCCTCTTCGCGAACCTTCGCCTTGATCCGCTGCACGGGGGCGTACAAAAATCGCCAAGCGGGTAAGCCTCCGCGGCTCTTCATGAACCCCAGCTCGGGGAACGAACAATGACATAACTGTGCATAACAATTCGTAGGTCCGCGCGGATTTCTACGAACCGCGCTGGACCCCCTCCCTAGCGCGCGGAGCGCGCCAGGGGCGGCGCCGGAGGCGCCGCCAGGGGGGCCCAGCGCGGATCCGCGAAATCCGCGCGCACCTCCGAGTTTTCATGTTTATGTCATTCTTCGTTCCCCTAGCAGCACCTGGAGGAAGTGGGCCCGACGGGCTCACCGCTTTCGTAGAGCACCCAGACGGCGCCTGAAAGCCGAACGGTCCAGGGGGCGGCAACACGGGCTGCAGGGGAAGTCAAACCGACGCAGGAGAAGGCCACGTAGACACTTCCTGTAGGGGTGCGAGCGGCAGAGGTGGCAGAAGAAGAACAGTAGGACGGCCTCGGGACGCCTCCGAAAGGACTGAAGAAGGCTTCCAGAGGGGCCTGAGCCCGGGGGTCCTCGGCTCCTCCTCCTCCTCCTCGCTCTCCTCCTCGTCCTCCTACTCCTCCTCCTCCTCCTCCTCCTCCTCCTCCTCCTCCTCCTCCTCCTCCTCCTCCTCCTCCTCCTCCTCAGGGTTCGCTGTCACGCCTTTTGAGAGAGTGTGCCACTGGTCGGGACGACTGGCGCGTCCTTCCCCCTTCCTCCTCCCTGTCCCCGTCCCAGCGGGGGCACGGCGCTGCCGTGCCAGGCCGCGGTTGCGGGGGAGACAGCGGCGGCCGCCAGGAGGTGTCGCGGCCACCTGCTTCCGGCAGGTGGCGCGCCTGGGCCCCTGCCGGAACGGAACGCGTGCTGAAAGGGGGGGAGGGAGCACGGCAGCGGTCACGGCTCGGGCTTGGAGCCAAAGCGGCTGGGAAAAGGAGGGGGGCGACGGAGGAAGGGGGGAGGACAAGGAAGGTCGCGAGGTAAGGTGCCGAAGAGGAGGAGGAGGAGGAGGAGGAGGAGGAGGAGGAGGAGGAGGAGGAGGAGGAGGAGAAAGAGGAGGGGGAGGGGGTGGTGGTGGTGGTGCAACGGTGGCATGACGGTCAACGCGTGCTCACAGGAGGGGGGAGGAGGGAGGTGGGAGGGGAAGGGAGGACGAGAGAAGCGGGAGGAAAAACGATGATAACACGGAAGTGGAAGCACCCAGCTGTGGGAAGGGGGGTACGAGAAGCGGGGGGAGGTCGTCGTCCGATTTTTGTCCTCTCCCTCGCCCACATCCTCCCATGATCCCCATTCCCCCCCTCCTGCTCTTCCTCCACCCTCCGCCTCCTTCTGCTCCTCCTCCTCCTCCTCCTCCTCCTCCTCCTCCTCCTCCTCCTCCTCCTTTTCCTCCTCGCCACAGGACATTCGTCTGCCCCGCAAGACAGCACATGCGCGACAATGTGGGGGGGGGCCACATCTCGTGCAGAGAGGCTCCAACCCCATGGCCAGGAGGACGGTCATCTGAGGGCCTATGGGGACGTGGCATCACAGCGGACCCAGCCGAAGAGCTAAACCTGTGGAGCATCGAGTCTTGCGACGAGTGGCTGCACGAGGGCGACTGGATAGGGCTCGCGACAGGTGACATCTATACGGATGGCTCCCTGCAGTACGGAAACTACCCCCCGCTGCGGAGAGCAGGCTGGAGATGAATAAAGCTCCGAGACGACAGCTACAACATGGAGTACGCGCGCTACGGGCCATTGCCAGGGCCACATGCCAGGGCCACAGTGGACACAGAACATCTTGCGGGGGGAACTCTACGCAGTGTTACAAGTGCTGAAGAACGGAGTACCCCCGCTGAGGATCTTCACGGATTGCCAGAACGTAATCAACGGTATCCTGGAGAGCTTCAGCAGGCTCGACAAGAAGGACCTCCTGCGCCTGGACCTCTGGGAAGAGATTTTCATTGCTCTGAGAGAGCTCGGCGGGCTGAGCCACAGTGTGCAGGTCTGCAAAGTCAAAGCTCACGTTTCGCGGGCCGAGAGAGAGAGAGAGAGAAAGAGAGAGCATCGGCCGTGCGAGGTGGGAGGGCAATAACATAGCGGGTTAATACACCAAGCATGGGGCATTGTATTATACCCACCCCCCTTGGTGTAGAGAAGCGTAGATTGAACAATACAAGTTCGTCCGTGATACATTCGAATTCGGAGCGTACGTAGGAGTGTTAGGAAGTAACATCGTCGACACTGAGAAGGGTTTGAGTCCGCCGGTGGATTCGAACCCCCCCGACCCCGCCCTGGAGCTCCTGGATCCCCCTGGGCCTCCTGGGACGGTTGGCGGTGCGGGCGAAGGGGCCGAGGTGGCCCCTCCCCCACCCCTGACGGCCACCTCCCCTCCGCGGGCCATCCTGGACTGGGGGGCTGTTAGGGTCGACGAAGCTATAGGAGCGGGGCACAAACTAGTGTTCCGTCGATCGTACGTTTTCTGTCGTAGGTTCGCCAGGTACGCCCACGACAGGTGGTCGGGCCTAGTTTCCCCATATTGCCCTGGG